AAACTAGACGCATATAAAAAGTATTCCATCATCGATACACTTCTCAGCATCATAGATTTCTATCAATAATTTAAAATTAAGTAATTGAATATCGCCGTATTCCATTAATTTCAACTGAAAGCTATTTTCTATATCCTTCGTCAAGGTAACAAATTACTTGTTTTTTAATATATGCAGGAACTGGCTACTTATTGCATCTGATAACTGATATATATACAATAAATGCGTTTTTATTTATTTACTAATTATTTAAATGTAGTTTTACATGCATAAATATTAACAAAACACTTGTTTTGTTTTATTCTAAATGGGCTATTTAATTTGACGTTTATTGATAATTTAATTATACATTAATTAATTAGGTACATTATTTATATTGTAAATATAATATTTATATAGTAATAATAATATTTCTTAGTTAAATAATTGAAAATGTGTTATTAGTTTATAATTGTAATTATTAAAATAGACTGAATTATATTTAAATGAAAATATTTACATAATGTTGTGTGCATTGATGTAATGAATAATACTAGAAAATATAGGAACATGGATACTATAGAGATAATGTTATGTTTGAGGGTGAGTTGAAATCTGATCGCAATTTAAAAAAATGCACACATTAAACTTACAAACTCTCATCAAATTAAGTAAATTAAACGAGTTTATGGATATTATGTGCTTAACGAAGAATCTTAATTAACATAACACTTCGTTACTGTCAAATAAATAATATAAAAAATACCATTAATAATCTACACTATTGTATGGGGTAATTTAAAATATTTTTAAAAATTACCATGAAAAAAATTATCTGTGTATGAATAACAACATTTAATATAGGTAGAGATAATAGGTTTTAATTACTTCGAGACATTTGAAATTTTTTTATGTAGTATTATTTCCAGACTTAATGTTTCAAAATCTTATTTTTAAATTGTTAAAAGATTAACTTCGAAACTAAAATATTAATTTATATTTTAGTTTTATGTATTTATTTTCGATCTTAGAAGAAAGGGTCTTTAGTTAAATTTACTTTTAGGAGACCTTTGAACAAATTTGAATATTATATATTGAGGATCTAGGATTAAAAAAACGAATCAGCCAAATTTTTCAGTTTAAGAAGAGTAAAATTAAATTTCATTTTTCATTTAAACTAATGAAAATGGTATCTTCTTAAAATTATATACTTTCCAAAATCATAAAAAGTATACTATTTTCATATTTACAAATATTTCTATTCTTATTGAAATTGACTAATAATTAAAAACCCCAATTATTAATTAATAATTTTAGAATAGTGTTGCTTTGGTCATAATATTTAATGAAATGCAAACATAATTTAATATATTACACAAAAATAACACATTTCCCCTTAAAATTGAATTTAGCCCCTCCTCTTTATGACTAAATATATAGTATATATTGTTATATTTACATAAATACTCAAATAATTAGTTTTAAAAAATAAACAATTTTTATCTTTAATATAATTAATAAATAATATTATTATCAATGATCTAGAATTAAAGAAATGTATCAACCAAAATCGAGGTTTTTCGATTGTTATTCTATTTTAAATGACAAATAAAATAGTTTGTGATGTGAAAATTGTTTAATATAAATTATATTAGAAGATATGATTTTTTTTAGAAAAAATAAAATTTTTCCATTAACTCAAATGGAAAATAAAAATTTAACTTTTTCCTGAAAAGTAAGAAATTGGTTAATACATTTCTTTAAACTTATCCCTTCATTATACACTAGCATAATATACTAGTGTAAATGTGTAATGACAAAAACTGGTTAAGTTTTACATTCTAAAATTAACTAATATCGAAGTAACCTACTGGATTATGTTTATACAATTTCATATCGTGTCAATGCATCAAGTTTTACAACAAATTATTGGGCATATTCGTTCCATAATTATTAATTAGATAATATTTAAGAAGCCATTAAAATGTAGGGAGCTATGGTTTTTAAGGTTTCCATGATCTGATATATTATATAAGTAGGTTGTAAAAGTTTTTGAACCAGTTAACATGTATATAAGCTTGAAGACGTAGAAAATATGCTCTATTCGTATTAATAATAAAGAACTACGACTAAAAATGTTTTCAGTAGTATATTTTATATAAATATACTGCTGTTGACGGGTTTCTAATATTACTTGTAATAAATTGAATATACTCGCCTGTTATGTACATAATCTAATTAACATTAATGTAAATTAAACACTATAATGTATAGATATATGTATAATCGTTTAGATCAATTTTCTAATAATTATTCGGAATAATATATTTTATTCGACGTTTTTTTATTCAATTATTATTGTTATAATAATTATTACAATTAATATTGTACTATCTACATAGTGAAATTAGATTTTTTCATATCGTTTTCCTAGAGTTTATTTGTAGAATGTTACTATAAAAAATAATTTAAAATTAATTACCGTAAAAATACTTCAAAGAATAACTCAAAAAAAGAAATCATCGAAACATTTAAAATGTTATTTATTTAAAAATTATTTAAAATACAATAAAATATTTACAGTATTTTTTTATAGAATCATAATCTGAAAATTTATATTCGTTTTTTTCCAATAACTTGATGAAATTTACTGATGTGGCATTATATTTTCCAAAATTAGGTATACCACCAAAAAATTAATCAAACATGATTAATTTATACTTTAAAAACTACATGTGCCCAATGTTTGACGTTATTCATTGATTTTTAAAATGTTCAACAAAGATAATCATAGCATACAAATTATAATTATATTTTGCACTTTATTTTACTAAAACAGCACTATTCATACCACTGAAATTATTCATTGTCAACGTACATTGTACTCTTTACTGTTAAAAACATAAGTATAATGAGTCCATAATGGCTGTACATTGTGGGTATTATAAAAGTACAATTATTGTGGTCTTAGTGTGCGTCTGAAAAAATGTCTACTATAGGAATTATGTATTGTTTGTATTATTATTGTAATGTAACTTAAAAAGTATAGGAACGTTTTACTAAAAGGAAGAAATAATAGAATGAAAAACAAACAGAACTCGTTGGAGTGTATTTCATCGTCCAGCAATACATAAACGTTTAATGTCAAGTGTAGTGTGTTTTATACTCATAATGATAATGATATAAAATGAATTTAATACATTATGTAGGTATATACATACGAACTATGAGTTCTAACTCTTTAGTGTGGGAAGGTTTTGACGCTCTCTCTTCCAAGATTAATTATTGTTTATATTATGAAAGAAGGAGCAAAACACTTGGCACTGTTTCTTCTGTTTGATGGTTTTAAGATGATCCGTATGCATACAAATTTGATGTTTTAATATTTTTTTAATTAATCTATTTTTTTTATTCTAACATATGAAAAAATTTGTATTGTAGAAAAGAAATAATTTTTTTTTTAATATTGTTTTTCACAACTGAAACAATACATCTGAATATTTGTTAAGAATAATTAGGATTACTAAAATTAGAGTACCTCTAAAACAAAAAAAGTTTATAGAATAAATAGTTTTATTTTCTTATTTACCAATAAATTATTTTTTATTTCATCTTGAAATTGGGTAATACTTATAAATATAGTCAAAAATAACTGTTATCATCATCAACATTTACCGTTAGTCTAAAGAACTAAACAAAATTTGACATTAGTTAATATAATATAATAATAAAATTAATTAATATTCATTTCTAATAGAAAATTTTTAGTGAAAAAATTTTTCTACTTTTTAATTACGCCTTTTTTGTTCAAACAAAATGTATAATATTATATTTGTATTTAGAATGCTATTATATCAAATTCGTAAATAAAAAATATCCGAATACAGAATTTTGCATTCGAATACTACTACTAAATAAATCAACGACTTATTTTGACAATCCATTCAAACATAGTATAATTTATTGTTAAAAAAAACAAAAACATTTCCGATTGCAATCTTGGAATGACTAGAAAAAAAGAAGTACAATGTGTTTCACATTCCTTGATGTTATTTTTCTTCTACATAAAACAAAAATGAAACATAAATAGCTTATGTTGATTTTATTGAACTTGGTAGATTCTTTATTGAAAAAAATATTTACTTGTTACTTTGAGATCGCTTAGATTAAAAAACCTTTACTTAATACTTGGGTCTATTATAATAAAAGCATATTTTATGAACCCTTTCAAATTTTGTATGGATCAAAAATCTAAAATCAATATTAACTTAGTTTTATATTTTGAAGTATACGATTGATATAATATTGTATAACTTAGGTTGACGTTAGTAGATTTTATAACAAAGAAAATAGTTAAATTAAGCCCTACTGCAATATTAAAAATTTTGATATAATATCCATTAACTGTGTACATTCACTGAAAAATACCAATTTCCTATGTAACATTATTAATTACAATGTGTTGTTAGCTAGTTATAAATATTTGCACATTATTAGTGTAATGAATTTTCCAGAGAACAAAATTTTTTTAGCTTTATGAGTGTAACATCAAAATATAAATTAATAAAGAACTTTAAAAGATGAAAAACTTTTAACTGTTCATTCAATGAGGAAGTCACCCTATTTATTTGTAAAATTATTTTATAACAACTATAAGAATACCGAAAGTTATTATTCATCAAAAGAAATATGCATAATCATTTTTTCATAAAGTACAATATTTTCGTATTATTTAAAACAACTAAATTATTCTCTAACAAGCTGTTTAATAATTTTTCATTTAAATAATCAATGAGCGTCAACAATATATTATTTTGAATTTTAATGTTCGACATAAATTAGAAATATATTTTAAAATATACTTGCAATTTATAGTTATTTATTTAATTTATATCTATAAAGAATTTTCAGAATCTGTAAAGTATATAGTTATACATAATTATTTTTTTACAACAATGATTAATGATTAACTCGGATTATATAGAATGTAAATAATGTCCTTTAAATCTGTATATTTAGTTAAACTATAAACTATAAATGTGAATTCTTGTTCAAAAATGATAAAAGATAAGTTCTTTAAATCAATAAATAAATCTCAGAGTCATAAATCTGTTAACAAAGTCGCATAAAAATTTGACAAATAAGTATTACAGTTTCTTTTATTAACCACAGTCACAATTGTATGAGATCGTTGATGTAAATACACGTGTAATCATTTCGTTTGAGTATAAAGAAATTAATATTTTTAAGCACTATGAGTGCGTAATTTAAATATTTTATATGCAATTTAAAATAATTTCTGAGTGTTTTTGAAGATTAAAGTTCACTTTGGAATACAATTTACATCGAAAATATAATTTTATATTAGTTGTATTTGACATCCACTCGACTGAAATTTGCCAATTACTTAGAATTAGGTTATCGCACTTCACAAAGAAAAGAAAAAACACATAATTTTATTTTTTAGTATGTTCAATTTCACTTGTTGACAAATTTTAATTTATGTCAACTCACAGCAATTATACAGCAATTTATTTTACGCATGACAAAATATTTTTTTTTACAATATAGTGAGCTCAGAATACAAAATAAAACATTTTTTACATTCATAGTTACTTTTATATTACATCAATTAATAGTTTTTTAAAATGCATTTCATGGACAACAAATAAAAATAAAAAATTCAGAAACAAGTATTTAATAACAATATAGTTAAAAAATAGTATTTAAAATCGATCCCTAAGGTGGTGACGTCACCACTTTCAATTTAAAATGCAATATGTACGTAATTTATTATAAGAATTATTCAAAAATGACTAGACAACAACATGTAAAAAATACACACTATTACTTTAATAAGAAATTACGCCTCACCATATTAACAGGCAATTTTAAATTATTTATTCTCTCAGAATTATTTTTTTGTGTATTTCTTTAACAAACAGTAAAAAATCACACAGAGTGCTTCTTTTATAAATTGAGATATCAATATTTATGAGATTTTCGCGCGCTATGAGTACAAAAATTGAATATGTATAATTTATTAAAATTAATAGTTATAATAAATATAGGTTTATACAATGCAAAATTTAGGAAACATAAATCAACAACAATTTTTACATAGTCTCTAATAAATATACATGTATGTACAAAGTAAACATATTAAAAAAAATATTGATTTATACAAAAAAAAGACAAAACACAAGTCGATACTTTTTGTTTTTTTATGTATGGACTCGGCCTTATAAAACGACGACAGGACAATCACTTAAGGGGCAAACCAACTTAATGTCGTACATGAAGTACTTCTGGTGTCAATTGGTTTGACGGTGACACATCATTATCAAAATGCCTTTGATTGTACGTTCGACATCGATCTATAATAAAATAAAAATTAGTTAAGTTATTATAAAATCAGAAAAAATATTTAATAGATAAGTAATTAGATATACTGCGTCGTAAAATTATAATAATAATAATTTTCGAGAATATTCCCTGTAATGTTTTTAAAAATATTCTCAAAATAGGAATTTTTTTTTTATCGTGTTTTTATTATATTATTGTAAAATGTCCCTGAATTGATCAACAAGTGAAAAATTGGTAAGTTCCAAATAAATATATTTAGCTTTAGATAATTTAATCAATCGAAGTTAGAGATATGACTGATTCGAATGAAAGTTCATCAATTTTCTAATTTTTTGTTTTCGAGTTTGCAAACGCTTTAAAGTTATATTTAAAAATAACTTTATACTTTATACTTGGTTGCCAAATTGAACTCTGTTTACGATAACTATGTAGAGTTTTTTTAACTAGGAAGTTTTTGTTTTCATCTATACTAAAGAATTTTTTGCAAGGGTTATTATTTTTAGTCTTTGAACATTAAATATAACTTTAAAAATCCATAGAAATAGAAAATATATTGAAAATCCGTACGAATAAAAAAAATGCGATGCTTAGAAATGCAAAAACTTTAAGAAGCCATAGAATCATTATTTGCTCAAATGTTTTTTTAGGGAATATTTGATATTTTTATTATCATGCGACTATCAACCGAGTAAAAGATGATTATTTTATCATTACTTCTAGTAATTTTCAAGTTTCATTAAATATTCTTAAATAAATTATTCAGTTCTATATATTTTTTAAATAATATAATTCTTCCGTAATGTTCTACAGAATAATATTTCAGTTACCATGAAAATCTTCTAGAGAATATTCATTCGTTACATCACTAGATATGCTTGATGAAAAAAATTTTATTTGTTTCACAAACAACTATATACATAGTAGTCTGTGTAGTGATAATTTAAATAAAAAATGGCTGATATAGCAGCATGAATTATGTGCAACCTTAGAATTAACGTTGAATAATATTCAACGTTAATTCTTATATTATAAAAGTAAGTTAGTTACATAATATAAAACTGCGTTTTAATTGTTTGGTGTTGATAGTTTCTCGGAGCAATTTTATTTTATAATCCTAATAATTAATACTTTAAAGTCATAAATTATATTAGTCGAAAACAGAGCGAAAAGTTTAAAAAATTATGTTGTTCGAAATTAATTAGTTTTCTTTTATTAAACACATTATAAGGCCTCCTAGAGACTTTTGCCGATGTAATAATGAAAATTTGTGTGAACTATTTATTTTCAAGAGTCAAACTTATCATAGGAACAAAAACTCTTGAAACTTTCTTAGAACAATTAAGTTATAAATAAATTATTAATTTTAATTAATTAGATCAATATCCACCACCTTATAATAATAATTATTATAACTTATAAACTTTGTTATCTAATTTATGTAAATAACATATTTGCATAAATTAGACAACTTAAAATAATGTGAATTTTAGTCATAAGTAACTTAATATTAAAAATACAACTTACTTAAATATTTGCCCAAGCCCAATGAAGGCTTATATAGTTCATCCAATAAAGGTGGACACTCAGGATCGCTCTTTAAAATGACTGGAGATGCAGTCCTGCAGGAAACAAGCAAAACTGCCAACAAAAGGAACAAAGCTACTCCTAGACTAGCGGCGGCCATCAGTTGCCATTCAGCATGCCTTAAACTGGCCGATGCTTCTGGTGCTGATAATTTAGCAGTCACGTCATCGTCCTCCTTCGCCCAATCGTTACTGTTATCACTAGAATCCGCCATGACAACTTCGAAGGTTGTAGTTTCTGTTGCCGGCGCAAAAGGTTCAACGGGCGTTGAGTGAACTGCACTCCTAGTGTCTAACATTAAAGTTGGACTACTGGACATTTTCACAGAGTCATCAGCTCCGCCCAAAAGTGATACCTAAAATGATAAAACATTCAAATAAAAATAATTTAAGTAAAATAATTTCATTTATTAAATAATTATTTACAAGTAGGTTCAATATTAACCATTTAAAGAGAACTCATTATATATAATGAAATGATAACTTTTGAAGTGAATATACATTTTTGTAAATACTGTAAAAATAAGGAACTAAGTAAAATCACTAAGTCATTGAGTTACCTACACTTGTCCTCCATTAAGATTTTATTATTCCATCCCAAATACACACCTTAAAAGCGATCTTAAGCTATAGTTACGGAAAAATGACAGTCATGTATTTTAGTTTGCCAAATACTTAAAATGTATTACGCTTAAAAAAAAAACAAAGATATTCCGTTGCTGATATTTTTCGCGGCATCTCGTTATAAAAGTATGTTCATTAGTCTAATCTCACCAATTGTTGAACTCAGAGCAAAACCTATCAAATTAAAATTTTTATCAAAATAATTAACATCGTAACTTAATGTGTTTTAAAACAAAAACTTAGTTTTAGAGCATAATTGATTAGATCGTATATTTTTTTTTCGCCTGGAATATTTATTTATTTATATATTTTGATGTTATTAAATTTGAATAAAAAAACAATTTGTACAAATAATATATATACGTAAGATATCAATGTTATTCCAATGATACTAAGTATTATAATAAACTCCAAAATTCTTCATTAAAACTACAACTACTGAGAAACATATTTATTTTGAGTTTTGACGAAAATTGGCAAGTCAATTTACTAGGTAATGTATACGGTGATTACAAAAGCATGAAAGTCTGACCTATATAATATTTTAATACTTTGTAAGGATACTCAAAGTAAACTTGTGTTTTTTTTGTTTATTTGAGAAAATTTTCTTATGCGTAGAATCGTTTAACGTATAAGAGGAAGTTTAAGTTAGAACTTTTTTTTACAAAAACAAGAGTATATTTTCAGATTAAATATAAATAAGAAAAGAGATATTTTGATATCTAATTAAGATTAATATTTCACTTAATTAATAATTTCTGCAGTTAAACGAATTATAAAATTTACTTTAACAACAGCAACTCATTACTTAGAATTAAATTTTTTGTCTGAAGAAAATAATTCATATAAAAGAACTACAAACGAATAATATATAATTTTAAGTTGGGAGCTGTTCGTATCGTTTAACAAAAAATAAATAGAATTGCAAAATAAAAAATAACGTAAATTAAATTAGCATGATGTGCGTGTTTTTCTCGAGATGTGTAGAATTAAATTTAAATAATTACTACTGTCAACTTGTCATTTTGTGTTTTGTAAATTATTTTAACGATTTCAAACTGTAATGATTTATTTTACATTACAAAACGATTTGCCTCCTTCGATATACTTTGCTGATTATTGCATAAACAAAATCATTTTAAACACTTTCTCGACCATGTAATGAAAATTTTCGTTTCTATTATTTTGCAAAAAATTAATAACGGAAAGTTAAAAAATAACACGAAACAAGCTGCAATGATTTAAGTTATATTCCTAAGGAAAAAAAAACATCCGCACACGGCAAAAAACAGGCATTTTTGGCCAGGAAAAAATAAATTGAAAAAGTTTTTGTCTGGGACAAAGTTCTACATTTAATACTTCTTAATGATATTTATAACAGAGCTGCAGTGGTTGTCAAAAGAAGGAAGAATTTCCAATTTTACGAGCCATTTAACATTCTTTTCTTTTATTATTTTTATTGTATGGTTATGTCGTTAAAAATCCGCTAATACATCACCTCGGGGTTACAAAAGTTAATAATAAAAACGAGAGTAGAAAAATATCATGTCAACGCGGTTTCCTTTGTACGTTCTACTTGAGATATGTCACCAGTCAAGTGAAAAAAATAATTTATACATTGTATTTTGAAAATATCTACGAACAGGATTCACAATGTTTCACTATGAAACAATGTCTAATGCGATGCGCAATTTCAATTTGAGGGTAAAGTGATTCCTTTTATACAACTTGTCTAGTTACGTTTCGGCGTTTCTAAATAGGATTACTATAATACCCAACGTTTTGTACACTGCCATAAGCAATTAATAGTTAGTCTTGTGTTTGGTCAATGGATTAATTGGATGAACAATGTGCCGTCACTGGATCTATGCGAACCACCAACTAGAACTATGGGTGTCGAAGAAGAAGGGGAAGAAAGCCCGTGTAGTGCGGAGCCGAGAACCATTGTGGTCGGTGGCCATTATCCCATGGTTTTTTAGTAGGTACTGAGACCGCGATGATGGGCGTAACCGGATGTCGTGTAATTGCACACGGACACTACAATTTTTCAAGTAGAAAAGGGGCTGGTGCTGAAGTCGCAACTCAATACCGGTCCGAGTTATAAGAATATAACGTAATAAGTGTGAACCCTTCAATTAAAATTGAAACGCTCCAAAATGAACGATGAAGACAAATGCAAAACGATAATAAATTTCATTTCTTTTTTTTAAGGTAGTAATTATTATCACGCGTCAAAGATGCGCCACTGTCGAAAAAACTGTTAGTTTCCCGCATATTATAATATTAGATTACCAGAGTCGCGTGATTACTACTTAATGCGCTTTTTACTTTATAAATCGGTTGTTTCGAGAAATTAATTGTTATAAATTAACTAAGTTCTCAGGAACTCAGTTGTATTTATCCCACAATAAATAATATACATGAATATAATACTACAATAACTTTAAGAAAAGAAAATCGTTTAACAAAAAGTATCGTTATTAGCTGAAGTAATAAAATTAATTGACTCATAACTATTAATAAATTATGATCATTTTGTATCACGAAAAAAGATTATGAGTGTTCTGTTAATACAGATATAGTATTTATAGCATTCCGTCATGCACATGAAGTACCTAACATATCTGATCTCTGACCACAGACAGACATCCTAACCACTAACATCAGTACAGCACCATTAATATGTGATTGAATTTAGTATAGTAAATAGTTACAGAATTCATTTCATGACTTCCGTTTTGAAATTAATAAAAATTGAAGGCATACACATTGTTATGTTTATCACACCATATACTATTGTATTGCCAGTTGAAATAACCACTACGAGTTCTCGTCACAATCTTTTATCATAGCGTACTAAAACTCTTCTTAAAAAAACTTTGAGAAATTTTTCAATTAGAATAACAATATCACATGACGCTTGTAATTAATAGTGAATAACATTGACTGTTTCAAATATGGTATAAATGCGAATAAAATAAATGTGTTAAACACAATTTGTAGAATAATGAACTTATTGTGATTTTAATTTTTATTCTGACGATAATGATTTGCAATTGCTAAAGTGTTGTTCTCATTAAATATTTTATCATGTTTTTTGCGAGATGAGTTCAAGTGAGCTTTTGCTTTATAAGTGTAAAAATAGTAGTTTAAAGTGAAAAGAGAAAAGTCGTGTAAATATTAATTCGTAACAAACATTAGTAAAATAAAAAAATAACCTAGAAATTAGTTTTCTTTAGCAACGATTGACCAACATATGTGTTTTCAAAACCTTGTGAAGACACGAACTTAACCGCGTCCATTTTTCAGTAAACTAATAAATACACGAGGAAAAAAAGGAATTATTTAAATATTTATTTTCAGTTATTTAATAAACGTGTTTAATTAACGTAACGAATGAAACTAAATTAACGTCAAGTGAAACATTACGAAAATGTGACAGTGTTTTTCTTTAGACCACAAGCGCATCAAAATTAGATTTACAGTATATTCTGGCCACCGTCGAAGTCAAACCAACGCAGTGGTTCATTAAAGTCCAATTGCATTCTGCCTCCTCCATACCTTTAGAATTAGTTTATAGACACAGAGTTTGCATTTTATCTATGTGGTCAAAACTAAGAAGCATACACAAATGAACACTTACGTTATGAGCCGTATAAAATTTTTTTTTCGATACTAAATTATGAAAGTATTTCAACAAGAAATTATTACTTAGATTCATAAATATATTCGTTTTATAGAAAACAATAAAAAACTTGACTTAGTAAACATTTTATTAAATTTAAATAAATATTTTTCAGATTTTAAATTAGCTAAATATTCTCAAAGAATAACAAAAATTTATACAGACTGAGTTTTTTTAACTCAAAATGTACATTTCAATTCTAATATATTGCTAAAAATGTACTCACTCAATAAATTTATCACGAAAACTTTATTAAATATCACTTATTGTAGGAAACTAAAAGGCAAAAATTTTTAACAAATTTTAAGGATTTTTTATAGTACAACTTCATTATAGTAAATAACTAAGATCTATAAAACTCAATTTTCAAAGGACCGCATAGTTAATATATTAATGTACTCGTTAAGCATTTCTGATAGAATCGTTTTATTACCAATCGGTATGAATATATGATGTGTGTCTAATAATTTGAACTCACATTTAATTGCCTATTTCCAACTCAAACAGAGATTTTATTAACTACACTACATATTTATTATTGTACTTATACGGAGGTTAACGCGTTTTTAATGTATCACGATAAAATCTTCAATTTTGATCTTAGTGACGCATGGCGGTCATGCAATAACATTATTGTGGTATATATGAACGCAAAGGTTGAGGAACCAAAAGTGTCATTATCGAACGAAATGCTTTAGTCGCTACAAAACGTACCAATAAACAGCTGCTGTTATTTCAATAATTTATTAATATTGGACACTTTTATTCATAAAAATATAGCTATAAATTGTGTTTATACAACAGCATTATTTTGGAACCCGTCTGAGCTTTGTTATTCTATATAGCGAGTGCATAATCGGCCAACCTTATCTTTCGTTATTTGAATAATACGATTTTGACACGAAAAAAGTGAATCAAAGCGAAATGGCTTGACAATAGTAATGACACTACAATAATGTGCAGAGATAAGTGCGACGTTGGCTTTTTTCGTGAAAATAATGTCTTTGGCTTACTTTTATAGACCGAATTGCATTAAGTTAATCAAATGATTATGTCGTAGTCGCCGACGCTTTATCAGCAAAATCTCCTCTAAATAAATTCCAGCGGTCACAAAAATAATTATTTAAAAGGGGAAACATTGCCATTACTTAATGTAAAATTACAATAGCCCAAAAACTATATATTGTCTCTTTCTTTCAAACAATGTCTTATCTTTTTTGTGAACGACATTCACCTAAAAGCTTTATATTCTTTCGGATATTTTCCAATATTCTGTATTCAATCATCATATTGTATACAACAGACTCGATATGTACCATCTTCACAGCTACTGTAGTTCATTGTGCCCACGTGACAAAAATCCACTACTTCGTCTTTTTATTGTCTTTTTTTACATCGCTTCATTATTTAATCATGTTCACCTACCACCTACAGTGAATGTGTTTGGAATTCGCTTGGATTATTGAACCCAACCTCTCTCTGATCAAAAATATTCATGCGACAGCGGCCACGTTGCGACGTCAGCCAACCTGTTATTAACTCAGTGATTTATCACGGTCGAAGATTTACAATAATAATAATAATAACCACATTTAATTATAACAGAGTGCTGACATGATCTATGGCGGCTACAACTCTCGTCGTAGCCTGTGTGATGATTAAAAAAATGCAAAAAATAATAATCTTAAAACTAACACATAACGTGCCGGAATGGAATGAATTAACAAAAAAATCATGTGTAGGATGCTCATGTAATAATTATTCTTAGACAGTATGTTTTTTTCAAACTCATAGGGTATTAAATGTCAACATAGCAGCATGATCGTATACTCGTTTTGTCAATTGTAGTGTCCTAGTAGCAAGCTTTCCGTTGAATTATATTTTTGTCCAAACGTTTCCGTGTCACCCATATAATTACCATCTCCCGACGATGTTATCGCCTCCTCATTGTTATCTAACTACATCAGAAATTAACACTCTGGTCCTTGAAGTGTGTCTTGTAAGCCTTTTGATGTATGACCAATCACACCAAGCGTTCATTCGTGGGTTAACTGATTTATAATTTATTAACTTTTACGTGTAACGTGGTGGTAGCTAAAATTCATACAAAATGACTTAGAAAAATCTCTCCTGTAACTTAATTGTATATGAGTAGAACAATAAAATGTATTATTCAATTATGATAAAATAAATACAAAAAAAAGCTATGGAGTATAGAATTAAAATTAACTGGCTATAAATGAGCGTTTTTGTTATTGAACGCGACAATATTTAAAATTACGTACTGACATATATTTTTTGTTTTAATTCTTTAAATAGTTGTTGAGAGTTTCGGCAATAATAGAGCTTATCAGACGCCACTAGAGAAAACTATCATAAATCTCATTTACTGTTAAACAATTTTTTTTTTACAAGGCTATTTCTTCTTTTTTTATTCAATCTCTCTGGGACTATCATTTAAGCAGGTTTTTTTTTGTATGGTCGATCGGAAGCGGAAACTCTTTGAGGATTTATTACGACTTTTGGTGGTAAGCAATCATGATCGGTAGCCCGGATCTTTACGCCGTCTGCAGGTCACGTGACTGACAATACGGTAGATATCTTACACTTCTTTTGTTTTCGACTTTATTTCACTGATAATACCCATTGAAACCATCGCGATACACCATCTCGCCGTCATTTTCCCCTATTGACTAAATATCGATAATGATGCACTACATGCTCAGTCAATCCATCCATAGAACCCCTACGATTTTTCTGGTTAACCTTCCGGCTTTTACGCGACAATAATAAATTACTTAAGGCTACGATAATACCCTAGGCTATTACTGCTTCCGCACAATTTAAGTTGAAATAATTATTGTGGCTCCAACGGGTTCTAAAATTCATCGACTCTTCATTGCTATTATTTGTTGTATTTAAAGTGAGCGTCACAACTGATTTTTCGAACAATCGTGGGAACAATTTTACTCTTGCGCTTATTATTCTTACGATTGCAATCTGTCACTCCCAAATATTTTCCCAACTATATTATGTAAACAGTCAGAAAAATGACAGAACTCTGTTAAATCACACCTGAACAACAGTATCCGTATTGACCACCCTCGCTTTTGGGGAATATTGAAACAATACATATTAATTTAAGCGTAGAACAATAATGACCGATGGACCACGCAGGTGATGCACGCAATATTAGGTCATCCACTGTCAATGTGTCTCCTTGTCGCTAACATTGAAAACCACACCGTGAAGCGTTACAGTACAACACGACCCTAATTAATGTGCTTAATATATATACATTATAATAGATGTGATATACTGACCTGTATGAGATAAGCGGTGTCCGGCCACAGGGACAACGTGACGCACGTCGTATCCGTAAACAGGTTGCCCTTCAGACCTCCACCGACGATTTCCCACGTGACCAAGTAAGCAGGACGGCGTACTTGTCTGGCGTCCCATGCCACTTCAGCAATCACCAAAACCTTTTGATGGATCATAGATACCTCACGCAAATTCCAAGCTTCCGTTGAATCCGAAGAATCACCACCCTAAAAATAAAAAAGGGGCTATAGATCATTTTATTCCTAGTGGACTATATTATTAGTAAATTGTTACATATTTATTTTAGTCAGTCGCATTAAAAATCTTCTTTTATAACCGAACAAAAATATTTCAGACGAGCGTGAAAAAGTTATTTTCTGAATTGGAATAATTTATTAAAGAATTAAAAAAGGGTCATATTTGTTTTATGGGCGAATCCAACCAAATAATTCTGTTTGGGAGTTTTACAAGAGTTTCTTTTATTTATTTTTTATAAGTTTTTCATCGTGTAGAATCAGAGTATATAATCAATGGTTGTACGAGTAAAAAACGTCTATTTCGTCCATATACCATATAATCAGATTGTAATACAATGACATTTGTACACTTGAGTTGTATGAAAATATAATAAAAACAATAACCTACGTGAATGAAACTTAATAAGAGCATATCAAAGAAAAAGACCCCTGTTCCGTCTTAGTCTGGTAGATCATTTGACGAAGGAAACATGAAAAATCTTGACCCAGCATTAATAATATTGTATTTTGCTGTAACTGAGAAAATTTATTCTTCGCTCACCAAATTGCCAAAATCTACGTTTCCCGATTTTTTATGAAGGATGTAATAATAATAACATCTCCGAGTTGATAGTATGATGTATGAATAAAACATTGTTTATATCGTATAAAAACTCAGTCGTTATGGATATAGCGTTGATAACGACGCAGCATGTGGAAACAATGATGACTTATTGCCTTACAGAGACCTCCATCATCATTATTCGTCATCTATCAGGTATCGATAAAATACCAAAAACCTTTTTTAAAGGAAAAATAAATTTTTAACAGGCCATTAGCAATAAAAAAAAGATAAAATGAAAATTGAACTGAGTACATATTAAATGAAATAAAAACCGATTTCAGTTTACAAGATTCAAATTTTTTCATTTTCTATAAGTAATTTAGATTTTTTCATTTCAGACAAAACAAGGACAATTATTTTTATTGACAATCATATTTTTATTTATTTTGAGTTATTTACATTCCATAATCATCCCTTTTATCCCTTAGAGAGAAAGAGTATAGGTATTTTTATACTGGTAAACGATTGCATTTTTTTATATTTTACTATTGAAAATATAGGAATTAATAAAAAAATAAAAAATACATTTTTCGATCGTTAAAGATATATACAACTCAAAATATAGTTACATTATTTTAATGGAAATAAAGGTCACAATGTTGTCAAATAAGATCTAAAAGGATAATAAAAATAAACCGTAAATAATAACGATAGACCGTTAACACGTTTTTACTTTTTCAGTTCTTAGTTGTTAGCCGTCTTTCTGAGATTCAATCATCAGATTAAATACCGTTGTCTTGTACCTTTTATACGTACAAGGAAACAATTTTCTATTACACGGTCAATGGCGCCTGATACAAATCGCGATTTTACAATCTTTTAAAAGTATTTTTCTTTGTTTAATAATTTTATTTATTAAACTTGAGTACCATTGCGATTTAAACAGCTGCCTAAATTGTGATGGTCGAAAGGAGGAGTTTCGTTTTTCAAGAAGGCGTGCGTGTTTTTTTAATTAGATTAAATTGTACAGCGTATAATAATAACGACGAAAAATATTACCGTGACGGACGTAGACTAGAAAACATAAAGACTGATGATTATATTAATAACATTTGGATAAAGTGAATAGAGAGACATTGCAGGTGTTCAATTTCACACGCATTTGTGTAATATTTGTACAATCTTATCCTTATGATGGATAAACAGGGTCACGCTACGAATTTCACCAAACATATTTTTCGTAATTGTTTAATGAAACTTTTTAATTACACATATCCGAGAAAGCATTTGATATATTCTAAAATCAAGTCTTTAAATTTTATGTTATTTATTTGTAAACTTATCACTATACTATCATACATAATATGAATGGTGTGTACATTTAAGTATTGCAAACTTTTTTCTATCAAATTAAGTATATTGCTTTTGGTTAAATTAAGTTTCAGTTAAGCGATAGTATAATAATGATGTTTCCCTCGTAAAAGAAGTTTGTTTTTATTATTATCGGTTTTTATTTTTCATAATTTAAATTTACTACTCAATTTGCTTGGGCTAATAAGAGTTTTTAGGATAAAACATAACAATGTCGGCGTCTTTTACATCTTCTAATTTATTCGTTGAATATAAAATTATGTCTATATTCATTAGACCGAGACGAACAGTTACGTCATTGTCTTAGTTGTTTATATGAAATTACCCACAACTCGCTATCCTAAAATAATAATTAAAAATAATCGGAAAACCCTATAGAAGTCAATTATGTAGATATTACAATAACTATTCTTTTACGAAGAAAACAAAGTTCGTATACGATACGATTGTTTGTACCCACATAGATATTTTAAATAGGCTATAAAATAATGATATTACGTACACAAAACAATAATCAACGAAGTTTTTAATACAATTCAACATATATGATGGGTTTTATAATTTTTTCAATCTTGAAAATTATCGTCTTTTGTTATCGAGAATACATAATACTTCCGAGCTATGCTCGGAATGTGCTTAATTCATAAGGAATTTAATAATATTATTAATGGGAAAAGAAAGAAAAATCGATTGTGCACTTGTTATAATACCACCAGGAAATATATAGAACTCATTTTTTCCGTTACATTTTGGGGCTGTCACGTACGCATGCAAATGAAGAAAATGAAAGCTCCTCTCGTCATCGTCATCACAGCGGACACGTCGACGTGCTCTGGTTAATAATATTTATACTTCCCTACATTCCAAGTCATCACATCAATCCAAAATAAGGTAAAGATCAACTATCTACGCCAGCGTGCATCTGTCCTCATCAATCCACGTCCACACGACCAAATACACACGTGCTTAGACATTATACACATAGGCTGCTTGCCGTTATGCGACGGTGACTTTGAACTTTAAACATGTATTCAATTAGTCGTATAGAATTTTAAGCGTGTAATCATGATTTGTCGTAAGCAAAACAAAATAAAAGTCAACAATCTTGGTTGTCAACAAGTGTGTCGCTAAAAAATTGTTAGAAGAATTACGACATGGAGACTACTATGGTGGGCCTTTCGAACGGAACGTTAATTATTGTTTTAATGTGTTTTGCTGGTGCATTTTTTGGCTTCACTCCAAACCCTTCTATTTTCGTCTGGTAATTTTTATTGCTGCTATTTTGTTTTTTTTTTTACAAACCGTAAAAACACCGACATGTGGTATACAATGCAAATCGAAAAGTTCTTCAATACTACAGTACTATCACGAGTTATAAAACAACGATGTGCACTCCACTAAACTCGGTGACTTCAATTACCTACATGTATTAACATAAAATGTTTGGCCAAAGAAAACAATAAAATATTTACCATTCTATATTACGGACGGCCTGTACTATAGCTGAACTATGACAGAGCACTTAAAATTCATTAAAATAATTCAAGCGAGATGTTTTACTTACCATCAATCTGAGGGATTCCTCTTGAGGCTCCGACCGAGCAGCTAACGGCAATCGGATACCAAGAATCTGATCGCGGCCTAAACTTCTAATGATAATATCTGCATCGCGGAGATCTTGCGCCGATGGACCGGCAGACTTGGAAGGTGATAAAAGGGACATTGCGGAGTTGATTTCTGTGGTAGCAGAGATGTCTAACGACGAATCTGGACTGTAGATGGTCATTAGGCCTTCGACAGAAACGGCTAACACGCGGACTGTTGATGGGGCGGTGGTTTTTGGTAGCCGTAACTTGTAGTCGGCCGTCTGTCCCAGTTGTGACCACGTGCGCCGGGTGCCTGGCTCGCGGCGTCTCATTATAACATAAACCAGTCTGGAAGAAGTCGTGTCGGTTGGCTTTGGCCACCGCAACGTTCCGGCGTCAATCATAAGGGTTTTCTCGCCTCGAGCTTCAACCACTGGACTGGGTTGTGACGAACTATGCCAGTTGTGGAACGAACAAGCTTCTTGACAACCGGTGTCCTGTAGGAAACAATTCATTTAATAAAATATAGTTATTTATGTAATTATTCGACTAGAGCGACATCATTTATATACAGTTCGTACATAATATAAAATAACAAAAATTAATCACTTATGGCTAATATTACTTAAAAACTAAGAAATATTAAAAATATTCAACTCAAAAAGATACAAACAAATTACTGAATAATCGCGGATACGTATTCCGGGAACAACGTTACCATTATCAACGCAAATTAAAAACTATATATGTGTTTAACGTACATAATAAATTAAAAAATATATTAATTAAAATACATATGTTTTGCTAATTTTCGAATGGTTATTGCGTTAAAAAAATATTTTAAATTATAATCATTTTTTCCCACATGATACAATGTTTGTTTTATCGATTGCAAGCTTTGCATCAATAGTTTATATGTGTCGTTTATAAAATTCTTTAGATTAAACAAGTAGTGTGGATAATGACTCAAGTTTCGTGACATAAACTCTCAAATTACACTGAATAAGTTAATTACAGAGAGGAACTCCATTGTTTCAATGGAACGAACTTACGCAAAAGATTTATCCGCTCAACAATGGCCGTTACTGGAAACTTTATTATGTACTTTTATGCGTTAAAAACTTTCGATATACCGATTACATTTTAGTTCTTATTAAAATACAAATTTTAATCGAAACGCTTTTTCGGGCTTCGGTTTAAATTGCAGAAGAATAAATAAATAAAATATTTTATATCACAGTCGAGATAAGCCTGCTTAATAGATTTTTTTATTTTTAGTGTTTATATTATATTTTTATAGCCTACTTCATTTTTTGCAATTTCATTTTAAAGACAATTTATTCAAGGCGGTAATAACTACAACACAAATATTTTTTTTTAAGTCTTACATAAATCACGAGGCGACAACACTAAAGAGAAATAAGACAGAATATTTACGGATTATAACGATATTTTTAATGATAACGAATGGCAGAGGAATATTTCATAGTGACAGCATAGGATAATCTGGGATTATCGAAACGCTTGGGCTCATAATGTCAACGATAATAGTACCACATGATATGCGATTGGATAGTTGCATAGAAATATTATTGAAAATTTAGTTTTAAACGAAAATTAGCCATTGCACGTCCTGGCTAGACTGGGCATAATTAATTTACACAAAACAACCAATCACCCTGACGGTAATTTCCTATTAATATTTATGAAAATCAAGAGTCAATTACTACAATTATTATTATTATTATTATTATTACCAGTAGGTATTGAACCAGCCGTTTTGTTTTCATAATTGTTTACAACGCCTAAGGACTTTTACAGGAGACGAGCACAGGTAATTGTAAAAAAAAAAAAACTGCTGTTATAACTCTTTATGTAACCGGTGGATTTCCTTTACTTGAATAGCTAACCTACATCAAACATATCTCTGGAAAATTATGTATTCTGATACTGACGCTGAACAGTTCTTTTAGTTTGATCTGAATTAAATGAGATCCGACATTGTAATAGAAACTCTGATTATAATTTTAATAAGTGCAAAGAATACGAGAGCATTTGTCGGAGCTTTCATCAAAACATACGACGGGGAAGTTGAGAGAGAAAGGATTATTCATAAGGTATCACCTCGTGTTCGTTACAATAATAATAATAATACTCCTACAGACTAATGTACAGTCATTTTTCACTAAAACGTGAGCAACATAACATTAACAATAATAACATTGTTTATACGTCGGGTCATTATTCGGTTGGCAGCTTCTCCGTCGTCCGTTTAATTTTTGTACATGTTAGACGGTTTTGAAAAAAAAAAAAAGAAGAATAACTGCTACCACGACAGCTACAGCTTAGGCGGGTCTTGACGGCAATAAATAATATAAAATCCAACAAGGCGTTATAATTGCCAATTTTCCGAAGAACAAAAACGCTATCGCAACGCTGTCGCGGAAAAGTCGAAACCAAAACAATAAATGCGATTTATGGGTCGGACAAAAAAAAAAAAAAACACTTGATTTCAAAAACCGATATTTGCTTGGATTGTACGAAAGTATATATTGCCACCATATCCGTATTTATTTTGGCAATAATACTTCATGGTCGTCAACAAGTAATACAATACATGTGCCGAATTCGGTCGACAATACTACAATGATATTATATTACTGCATTGTTATTGCATGTAATTGTATAATGGTTGACAAATTTCAGGACGGACGGAGATTTCTGCATCGGATCGCAGAATTTTATCTATTTAGATTATCTTTCCGCATTGTTGTACGATATCAAAAAGCTGTTTTCTCATATACCCGCGGGTAGCACGACGTCGGAAAAATGTATACTTTGTATGTAATATACATACCCGTACGACAGTTTGTCTGGGCGCACAGACAATAATAAAAAATACAGCGCACAATCTGAGACGAACAATGGTCTCTATATTGCTGGCGCTTTACACATGCGCGCTCATGTCACGATGCTGACAGATATGCATTCAATATGTCAATCAACGGACAATACACTTTTTAATATATAGCAACGTAACAACAGCACACATAAATATTATTGTACTAGTGTATCAGTCGCAGTTATATGTCTCCGTTACATAAACACGTGATACAACTTGATCGTGACATTATAGTTGAATCAAATTTCACACCCCGATTGTGCTACAAATCTCCTTCAATGACTAAACAGTCATTTGAACAACATTCAACAATGGGTTTTCCGGAATTTTAAGAAATTCTGGATTCGTGTGCATTTGTATAAGGACAAATATACGAAACGAAATCGAACCAAAATTATTTTGTTATCAAATAACATTTCGATAAAATAAACATATTTCACGTACTCTTCACGACCCGGGAGGTTTATTGTCTTTTAGAGAGTGATATTTAGATCGATTTGAGAATGTGGGTGGCTTTCTCGAATCTTTTCTCTTCGCCCTGTTTATTATTATCCTGGCTAAGATATGTTGTTTTATAATCATACAGAATACAAAGACTGTTTAATAGAGGCGTCCAAATGAAATAACGCAAAAGTGAAAACTAAAAATGATATAACTGTTACGGTGAAAATGGTTACGAAGGTGGTTTTATCGAAGTACCGCGAAATCAACATTAAACTCCGAGTGGTCTTTTATCTAGTGCAAAAAGGTTCACCGCAAAAAAAAAAGGTAAAGAAAAGCAAAACACACAAAAGACTATATTATAAATCAACTGCAGCGATTGAATTTTATATACAAAACAATTGTACCAAAGAAAAATATGAGCAGTGGCGTTTTATTGGAAAATAACTTTTCTTGAAATTTCAATAACAGAAACAATATGCCCCTTGGGTTACAATTTATATTACAAACGTTTCGGCTTGAATATCGAATATATTGTAATATTGAATACAATATCACAACTTTTGAGGTACATTTGCCCTGTAATTATTATTCTTACTCCAAATATATTCCGTTGATCTCGTTTACGATTGAAATTCTACGAGAAATGGAAATCATACAATGGACACCCGAATAAATGACTAATATTATTAAACTCAATTCGATAGAAAAATATCAAGGGTTTTGAAGATATAAAAAATTTAAAAAATACAATGTTTCCATTTCCGGAAAATCAATTTTTATGCCACACAGTATTTAAGTTCAAAACTATGCTTTTGAATAGCATGTGTTATTATAATTGTGGAGTCCTGCGGATACGAAAAATTACCAGAAAGGTCGTCTTATATTCTTGTGTATAAAAAAAAAATAAATAAATACACACTCGCACCACTCCCAAGAGCAGTCTATACTTGTAAAGCCAACGTTTCGCCACACCAACCAGCAGCTTAACCCATAAAATCCGGTGCTGGTGAAGTAGAAGATAACAATCGTCGAATATTGTAATAACACATATTATAATGTACTCGGTAACAAATTGAATTTACCAGCTGAAGTGGCTGCTGTTTTACGTTGTACGCATAAATTCATAATTATTCTGTATACTGAATTGTTATTATATTTTGTCGGTTAGCTGTAAAGTGTTAGCAGTGAGTACAACGTGGACATGTAAACTTGCCGACGGCGCCAAGCTGTTATTTTCCGGGTAAATTCATTCGTTTATCATCATCGTTGTGTTAGTGTGTGTTAGTACATAGGCTCTCGTCACATAAGAGAAACCAACAGTAGCCGTTAGAGCTTACCATTATGCGTTCTGATGTAATTATTAATAATAATATTACATATTTTTACATTTTACTTTGTACGCCCTGCAGGCTTACACGCGGTCTTACTGAAATTACCAGCGCTGGAACGATCGTTTTAATTTTAGAGCTTATAAGAAAAAAGAAAATATTATTACCAGCGTAGTATGTGTGTTCACATTGTAAAGACGAGGTACGTACGAAAAACGCTATGAATTATTCATCGGAAACGAGAAAGCGCTTACCTATAACACAGAGTTTTGATATTTACACGTTGTGTATTTAGATATTCCTTCGATTCTGTCATTTTATACACAGTGAAAACATCTCAGTTCCTTTCACACGAGTCACTCTTGTTCAATACTTTGCTTGATTTTTATGCATACTCGTTATAATTATCACATTGTGTGTAAAATACATTAAAAAATCCCACAATAGTAGAAAAGTTATGATATAAATATCATTAAGCATTTTCTAAAAGAGCTTTTAAGGGTTAACGAGTAACATTCGTACAACCGTTGTGCCATTGCGTTACTCTTTGTTGTACACGGAGATTAAAAAAGAAATACTACCAAAATGGAATTTAATCACGTAGGAAATTATTAAAAAGAAAATTATTTCAACAAAAGAGTAAAATTTTATTTCAACGAGTTTTATTTCGCGTTGCAATAATCGTATTATAAGTATTTGACTTGGAAAACTCTTTTGAGATTTTCTGACTATAAATTCTATTGTTAATTCAATAAAGAATCATTGTAATTTATTCATTTATATCAAATTTAATAGAATATTTAACAATGAAGTTTAAAGTCATTTAAAAATTACTGAATGCATTTGAAATGGACTACAAGGAAATATAATTTGCAGTATTACTTAAACATCAAATAAAATCATATTCCAGCAAAATTAACTAAATCCCACGAAATAAAATCAATACAATAAAATATTATACTTCCATACAATTTTGAATTATGAATCTAATTATTATGTTTTAATAAAGTTTTGTAAAACTTTTTACTTATACTTCAGAAAGGTAATGATTTAAATTTTAAAGAATGAATCGTAAAATGCTTACATGTGAAAAACTTTTATACGTAAATGAGCCTTTTAGTTGGGACGTAGTAATTTTTGCCTTTTTTCTAAAAAAATCATGAATTATTTAAACGTTACATACACCTCGGTGTGTGCATCAAATGATAGTAGCTATTTGTTATACCAATTATGTCAATGAGATTCAAAACTACAAAAGTATCCTGGATCAAAGACTAAATATTAGTGTTAGTTGTATATAAAGTAATCGAAAAAATGAGATAAGTTTCATTGACATAAATTTTGGTTAAAAATAAAAACACGATATATATTAAATTGGTAAAAAACGTAAAAAATAAAACTAAATTCAAAGACTAAAAAACACTACTTAAATTAGTTCACAGCACGGCAAGAATTAATATTTAATAATATGACATTCATTTTGTAAACATTTTATTTTAATGAAGAATTAAACTAATGAAAACAAAATTATTATTAACCACTTATTCAACGTTAATGTTTAATGCTACGTAATGACTAAATTGCATAACTAATAAAAATGAAAATTAATTCTAGAATTGAAATCAACCCTTTCGATCAAAGTTTATGTGGACGACACGTACTTTACGTTGATTAAATGCTTTTGTGAAATCAATGACTTTTAATAGAGACAGTCTATCCCTTTTATTGGTATGTAATCCTTTTATGAGTTTTTGAATGATTGATACAAACAAATAAAAAATAAATATATTTATTTATTCAAAACCCATTTACCATTACGATTGCGAAATAAAAGTAAATAAAATAATATGAATATATTTTATTTCTTACATACTTAAATTACTATTTATTTAAGTAACCATAAAATAATAAACATTTTTTTTACTAATTATTTTGATGTTTATTTATATACATGATTGTAACCAAACACTTAGTTTACTTATGATAATGAATAAATATGTGTATTCATATATTGTATAAATATATGCAATAACATATTAAATAATTAAAAAAATATAATTATTTTATTTTATAATTAATAACATTTAGTAAAGTTGAGAATATTTTATTGTAAAAAAATTAGAGCCAAAATGTAAATATAAAACTATACAAAATCCAAAAAAAAATCATTTTCAACAATAATTAAGTGATAATTCATGTTTTTTGTTTATTTTTTAATGGCGTTATAACTTATTTATTTTATTATTAAAAACTCAAACAAAACATTAATGACCGCACGTATATAGTACATACGGGTTGTAACAAATATGTTTTTTTTATTGTACCCAAACACAATAAAACACATATTATATTATAAAGTGTTATTTATAAGGGCATGGAAAGAACGCTCGTTCTTTGCTAATTTAATACCTCCCGTCAGCAACAAATTTTATACAAAAAGATTAATCGCCCACTAGTCATTTTTATTACTGTAATCCAAAAACTAGTTTTTCTATTTTTTAGTAAACATTAGACAAAAAAGCTATAAATGAGGCTTTCGAAATAAAGATTAACTTTTTTTTTTTTACTTACACATTTATTTTCACAAATGCTCTTCATGTTTTTGCCTTTGGTCTGCAACACCTCGCAGTATTTCCAACACTGTAAAAAGCAAAATGATTTTTAAGTATACTTTCTTTAATATAAATGAATAACTTTTAAAATAAAACAAAAATATTCTAGTCACTAATATAACTAGAATATACCTTAGAATATAAATTGTGTGATGGTAAATAAATTTATTCATTATGATAAGTAACAAATCGCAGAAACCTTTTTATCATTCAGAAATGTTATCACCTACTTGAAAGTTTTTATTAATGTTATTCGTTTTATATACCCTAAGCCACACGAGAAACGTACTCGCAATCGTTGAATTAGTTCATCGGATCTTCTACATCCCATCTCGTATATATACTTCCATTTTATAGAGATAAAGAGAGGAAAGCCGTCCCGAGAGATGACGATCGAAAATATACCCCTATTGTTGATCACTGCGGTAACACATACTAGCTACCTAAAGGGGAGTGAGTTGTCTGGGATTTCACATATAAGAAAAATTACTCTACTGGGAAAACCGGTCACGTACCCGAATTGGAAATTCGAGGGCTAGAAGGAATGGAGAGTTTTGTGAGTACGTCATTATTGCTTTTCTTTTCCGACGTCTATTTCTTACACTCAAGCGCTTCATAACTATCCACGTGCGTATGTTAACTTCGGTCGGTTTGTGCTTTAAAAACATTATTGGTCTCTCATGCTGGTACAATAACCGTAACTAGGGTCATGATTCGTTTTGACGTGTTATCTGAAAATACGTAGGCTTATTGCAAGCAACCGTCGTGGACGGGGAAAAGGCCAAAGGAAAAGTAATATCGGTCAGACGTGTGTACGACAAACCTACACGTCCAATGAACTACACTGACATTGTGCGTGTGTTTATACATATTATTCACTGCTAAAACATTCCTCATATTATTGAACGAATTTCGCATGTTACTCACGTGGTATGCAAAAAAATGTTTTCACCCACATTACCATAAATTCGTTTAAATGAATGAATCATTCTTTACCCTCCGACGTGCTTAAATTTTCAAATACCACGCTAGAAATCCCAATCGTTCTTCTTCGCCGACGTCTTTCATATTGAGATAAATTAGACACGAAAAATATAAAAATAGAAACTAGACAAAATTAATACGTCTACATATTTCTCATTGGTCATATCATGTGAATAAAAAATAAACATGTGATGAACGTCATAAAATAACAAAGCGACGCAGATGTTTTATTCGACAAATAACGCCAGTCGGAAGAATACAGTAAAATCCAAAATTATTCAAAAATTGACATGTTAATCTACCTTTATCATTTTTACGGCACGTGCATGACGAGTATTTTATTTTCATTTAAAAAATGGAATTATTTTTGTAAGCTTGTTGTATACACTGTTTATAATCGCGTACAATGTGCCCACAAACCAAATATCATAATATTGTTACAGTAATAACTGTTGGTTCAAACGAGATTTAATCATACTATTTGTTATTTCTTGTGCTAATCTCTTAATCTTTGATGTTTATTCAGCTGTTTGATTTTCAATCATTACGATTTCAATGGTATTGTGGTTATATGAATTGTATCGTTTATCGTAAATTATGGTTTTGAATAATATTGTTGCAGATTCGTACGAGTTGGATAATATAATTGATGAGGTCTGGCTATAATAATGATAAAGTCATAACAATAAATATAAATAATCTCTGTGGATTTTGACGGTCGTGAAAAACAGCAATCTGGTTCAACGGCGCGTATTTTTTAATTTTCAATATATATTCAAAAAACTAAAACCAAGTCGAATTCGTCATGGAATATAGTGAAAAATCAGCCACCCTTCAAATGGTCATTTTGTGAGTTTCTTAATCAACGAGTATATCTTATTATTTTACCTTGCAGCCCCTTTCATCCCTCGAGAAGAAACGCTAATTTTGATTTATCATAATAATGATTCCCGTCTGTCTCATCATACAAATAGCACAAGATAACACAAAGTGGAGGAATGGAGAAAAGGTCGAGAAAAGTACATTATCATACGCCCGGTAGCAACTAGCAACGGTTTTATATAGGCGAGCAATAATAATGGGCGAGTATCAATCAGTCGTCATTCGGGCACCGCAATTCGTTACATTATCCTTGGCAGCACAACGTTTAAAATATGTTAATGAAAAACAATCGACTGCCGCGTTTGTATTAGTTTACCTCTACTACTGTAGTGCCGTCACTGCTACTTAAACTGCTACTTCGGTTATGGTAGTCTATTAATTTTACCGTTCAGAATTGAACGGGTCGGTGGGTCTTAAACGTTCCTTCGGTACTACACAATGTACTCTACTACGTCGAGTTAAAGTATAATTATTTTGTATATAAATAATTTTAAGTAAACCTAGCCCACACCAGCTTCTTAAGCGTCTAACTTAATAACAATGTTCGTTACACCCACTAAAACCATGAGATTTGAGATTGAATATATTTTTTTCAACATGCGTGAAATATCAAAAAAGTTTTCAAAAAAGTTTTCAATGAATTTCAATTTTCATGCCTGTTTTTTTTTTTTTAGTCAACAATATATCTATATAATAAATATCACGTAGATATCTTATTTTACAAGATTTTAGGTACTCCGAAAGGGTACGATATAATTCGTATAATCTCTTTTCTGTGGCTCTCTTACTAGAATTATTATTTTGTAAAAATTTATATTAGATATATTACGTTTAAAATAGATATTGTAAAGCGTATTATGTATTCTATAAGCTTTGGATTATGAAAATCTATTTCTTAGTTATTGAAGATGTCTTACAAGGAACACAATAAGATTGGTGTTAATACGGTAATAACCCTAGTTGAGTTACACGCGAAACTTGAAACACAATCGGGTAGCCTTATAACGGCACTCCCGTGATATATATAATGTATGAAACCTATTCAATGTTATGTCAACCATGTTAGAAAATGGAAGAAGTCTGCCATGATAGTTTGGGTGCACAAAAATTCACCATGATATGCCCTACATTATTTAATCATTCCTAGTGTCTATGAACAAATACCTTCGTTTTCGAAAAATGTGTTTTTAGAAATAATAATAATAATAAAAAGGAATAATATGCAATTAAATGATAATCACTCAAATATAGGTTTATAATTATTTCAAGCCTAAATTATCAAAAGTACGCATTATTCACATGCACCTATAATATCCAAAAAATAATCAGATTGATTTTTTTTCTTTTTTGAAAAGGTAATCATTTTTAATAATTTCATGATTATACTAGATTATAGAGCATTTTAATGGTGAACAAAGAATCCCGTAACTAGTTCAATATCATATACGTCATATATTTTTTTTTTTTAACAGAGGACATATGATGAACTTTAATGCACAGCAGAAATTCTTCAAGGGTGAAAAATAATAACATTAAGTCCCCTAAACATCCCTGGTAAAAGAAAATGAGTTTCCATGACCGGACGTCGTGATGGGTAGCAAGTGTAAAGCATCTGGCGCTCTACGTTTGTTCTTCTTTTTTTCGTATTAACGTTATAAGCTACTGTAAAACGTTGAACATTAAAACTCATTTGTTTTACTGTAAAGTAAAGCAAAACTGCTCTGTAAAAGAACGCATAGACGACTTTACAAATAATAACTTATCAACTCAATTTATCATGTAAGTATTATTTTTATGGGTATCAGATTATAGCATGAAAATTTTTCATGTTTATTCGAATGGCAAACTATAACCTATAAGAAAACTAAATCTTTAAACAAACGAACGATTAAAAACTTTAAATGTGATTGGTTGTATGGAAAATAAACGTTAAATGTCATGATGACGTTTCGAATAGTACATGATTGTCCGTCAGTTAGTTTGTAATAACAATATTATACGCCTACATCATAACTTTAACTACAAATCATCGGCATAATGAATTGGATATTTGCATGTAATTAATTGTTTTAACTCAGAGGTGACGATAAGAACAGCCAAATAAAAAAACGATAAAACGCAACATCACCTGCCCTCCGATAGCATCGTGTGCCCAGATCGTAAAAGGTGTTGCCGGAAGAAATAAAACCGACCATGGTCGATGATGTTTCTTATTTTGATTTAACGACGGTTTTAACGCCTCCTTTTGCTATCACTCTATTTAAGTGCCCGGTTTGATTTATCCGATTAAACGACACGTGACATTATCGTCGATCTTCTAATCAGACGTTTGTTACTATGCCGATGACTTTACACAGTACAGCCACGGACATTCATTACGTAGTATTCGTGATCGCCATATATTGACTTACTTTTAACACATCTAATATTACAACCAAGTTGAAATGGACACTGGCCCGACTCTTGTGACTTCCATTCTGAGAACGTTTTGTTATTCTCACGCGGCGCCAGTTCTACAACTATAAATAATATTATTATAATAACTATACCGTCGAAACGGAAATGTCTTTCATATTAATATATTGCAGTCACTATGGCGTGGAAGTCCTACCAGCTCAACAGCAGTTATCTGTGTCGGTCATCTACCGATTGCGTAGACTGAAGCACATTTTTCGTATAATTTTTTTACTATTATTATTCATCGTTCAACTCAGACTAATAAACTATTACAAAAAAAACATTAAATGAATAGTGCCCGGAAAAATGCTCTAACGTTTTTCGCTATTAAAAAAAAAATTCTACGCTGATCACTGCTGTGGTTGGGATGTAAATGTTGTTTGTTTATTCGTTCATTCTTTGCTGAAAATACGACTCTCACGTCCGATACAGGACTTGCTAAAAAACGTGTACTGCAGAGATATGGATGGGCAAAGTTCCAAAACAACGAGGACAAAAAAGAAATCACCCATTAATCGGAAAGTTTTCGGGAAACCGAAGCCACTCCACCCATGATCCTCCTCTTTGCAACTTCACCCTATTTTCTTCACTACTCGTCCATGCCATTTTTCTTCGAACAGTTAGCATAATATTATTATTGTTATTATTATTTACAGTATTATTATTATTATAGCTCGCGTCAATACGTGTATGAAATTTCATACT